AAGAATTCTCTTTAATTGATTATAATTGGCTGTTTTAAAATTAATATGTGTTATTATATAATATATCTTTTACAAACATATATATAGAGATATCAGATTATTAGTTTCTTTATTTGGCAAGTATTTCAGAAAATTTTCGAAGTAAATAATTTTTAAATATATGAAGGACAAATAAGAATTGGTAATAGTATTTTAAAAAATCGAAAAAAAAGCTAAGATTTTTGATTTATAATATACATTGATTTAAATTTAATAATTCTTTAAGTTTCACATTAAAATTTATTATATTTTTAATTTATTTTCTTTTATTTGAATATTTTGACGTAAATTGTTGATAAATTAACCAATAGTATTCTAAGCTCAAAATTTTCTAATATTGTTGGCAGCTTGAATATCTCAAATAAAAAATATCTCATCTCTAGTCAGTATATCATATATTATTTTTAAGTAATTGTAAAATAATTAAAAGAAAAAATAATTGCAACAGGAATAATAATAAAAAGTCGTTTATAATAATGCAGTGGCAGATCACAGAACAGGTGGTGAGCAGGAAAGGTAGAGCCTCAAATAAACATATTTATTTGCTTAAGATTAATATCACAAGCAATACAATCTCATTCATTCATTTCATCATTATATTGATTGCATTTTCATATAAAATTATTATGTTTTTCATCAACAAGTGAAAGAAGAAACTGTAATTTCGGAGGTTGTGACAGCTACGAAGACGAAGTTGTCACTCCAGGCTCGTTATAATAAAAAAATGTAAACTTGAGAAGAAACAATACTCAACCTCACCAGTCGAACTTAATGTGTCTATACCATTACCAATAAACAGCGTTATTTTTGATTCGAACCGGATATATATTACTCTAATTCCATGTATTAGCACCAGGTTGCTTTTGTGTGACAGATCGATCACCTAAGTTATTTATATGGGTATACTTCGTATGTTATGCGACATAAGGCACATAATCATCATTAGATAACTCAGTACTTAGACAAAGGTGATTCGTTCAGTACGTAAAAATATGTAATCTAAAAAATTTATTTGTGATAGTAAGATCCTTTACGTGACTAGAAACAATACATTCTAATATCTTATTAATATTGCTAGCATAAAACCCAGTAGGCTACCCGAGGATTGAGTACACGTCTCTTCAACCATCGGATCGTGTGTCGACTTCTAGAAATAAGATTCAATACAAAATTCCTACGAGGATTTTATTAATCGAAACTCTCATTAGAGAGGCTGTTAATGTTAATGAATTGGAAATTCAAAACACTTCCTCATCTGAAATCCCCCCCCCAAATTATTAAGTTTACGATTGTTGTTCCAGAAAAAAAGTTCACAGTTTATTACTAATAGACGCAGAGATTAAAAGTTACACTATTCGGCGAGTCTTTGAGATTATATAATCTTAGAGCCGATGTACTATTTAAGACGGATAGTATAGACTTTCGCAGACATGTGGGAGGCTACGTTGATAATCGATCAGGTAAGTATTTATACATCAATCACACGATTGGCTGGAAATACACCAATCATGCTTAAGGTCTAGAAAACTCGTATATGATTCTGGAATTGCCACGAAGTGATTGCAGAAACTTGGAATCTCCGCCATCTCCCGAGATCGTTAGATCTAACCTGCATTAAACGATCGTGTGAACGATAACTTAATTTGGATATAGTATATCAGTATTTGTATTTTAAAAGTTAATAGTATATGTATTTTTTTTATATAACGAAGGATAAAGATATTTACCTCGCTCTTGATTGATTATCGTTTTGATTCAATGAAATGAAAATTTTCGACACATTGGGACGCTTTTTTTCGGGTTTAATTACTATTTATTATTAATCAGATATTTTAAAGTGTTGTTCACGTATATATGACATATTTAATAAAACTTACCTTCATTTTTTGCTTCGTTGGATATATATAAGCTGGATTTTGTTGATTGGCATCGATATCGATATCATATTCGGTAGTCACATATGCTAGAATTTTTATGTAAAAAAAGTACTTTTAATATTGAACTTTAACTTTCTTCACTTTGATTGATAAAATAAATTTGCGTACCGTATCAGTTGGAATTGATACTAATTTTAAGTAAAGATTCAATTGTTGCAAATTGCATTTGAGTGAACTTGTTTATATTCGTAGAAATCTAATTTTTATTCATCTCATCTCTAGTTTAATAAACACTTTTAATTTCTTCATTCTTTTTAGGATTTTCAATAGAGCTCTAGTACTGAAGATGAAAGCATTCACCACATAGTTTTTATATATTTGATAAAGACTTCAAAGTTCTTTTGCAATTGATCTGTTTCTGGAATAAGATCACAATAATAAATTTGCGCTATCCGAGAATCTTATTCGGTATCATAGGTCGTACTCTTTTATAGATGTCTATTACATGTACAAAGGCATATTATAATGACTTCGTTCACCAATTGGTCGTTCAGCTCACTTTTTACAATCTCGGACAAATATATGTACTCACTTTTTGATACATAAAAAGTTCAAACTTACAAAATTATGGGATTTTTTGGTTCCGCCAATTAAATAATCGGGATGATAAATCAGCATTACGATAATTCAAGCTGTACTATGATGATGCTAATAAGCCACTTTCTATAAACCAATCAAATCACAATAATTCCATGTATGGTCTCTTTAAAGCTCAATATCTTGAAATCCAATGGCAGGAATCGAGTACAAAATTACAAGAACCTAGGGAATTGAATAGTATGTCTTACACTCAATTCACATCATTAAGTCTCAAGATATTGAGTTCCAAAGAAGATGTACATACAGCTTCTTTGAGGCTAAATATTTTTGTAGCAGTGAGGGTAAAGGCAGCTTAAACACTCTTTGCGATCATATATTTTGAAAACTATCGCTCATGCAAGTATTGCGAATGGAAGACCTTGAAGATTCTAAAGATGAACACTTCTTTAATCCGATTTTGGTATTTTCAGATAGCATTCAAATTCAAGCTGGGAAATTTTATCGTCCCACTTTTTGAAAAATTAACCGACAAGAGTACATATATACTGTATGTGCTAGACTTTGTGCGGTCGTTAGGAATTCGTCAAGATTATACACAAAATTGCATGTTGAGTATCTTTTTTCTTGTTTTCCGATTTGTTAGAATCTTATTTTTAGAAATGGACAAAAAATATTAGTGGAAAATGCAATTTTTTGAAAAAAAAAATTGATTCATTTTTTTGCTTTAGGACAAAAACAAAGGGTAAATTGTAAATTTTGTAACTTTTAGTCCTGATTTTACCAAGGTGAAAACTACCCCCGTTCGACCAGTGTTAAGTGACAAAAATCAAACTCCGTTTTTGTCGTTTCCTCGTATTTCAGAGCAGATAGCCGTGTAGCAAACGTATACAGTCTTGGATAAAACATAGTATGTGCTCAAGGTTGACTTGAATCTTATGATTACAATTGTGGTTGCTGATGGATGATTGCAAGGTTTTGACGTAGTTTTTTGAGCCATTATAATAATGTATAACGTATTTTGCGGAATATAAGTGACATCCCTGTATTTGTTTTTTAGCGTTTTTTTTAACTTAAAAAAAATTAATGCCAAATGTTTGTTCAGCTATTTCGTTGAAGATTAATTTTAATTGGTTATCGAATGTGACAAACAATGATGTAATCCCTATTTAATTTTTTTATTATATTATTAACGATAAAGATTAACAATAGGATATAATCATGTGTTTTTTGGAGAGAGTAAAAGATTAATGTTGCTTATATTCTGCAAGATATGATATTTGATAAGCAAAAGCGTGAACAATCTTGCTGAAAGTGATTGAAGGACTATGTCATAGATGTCCTCAAGTTATCCGAAAACAGAACATAGGGGCTTTAGAAGAAGAAATTGACAATACCTATAATGATTTAAGGACGAAATTATAAATAACTAGACAGCATATAGGTATTATTAAGGGGTGCCACCCAAAATTCCGAAATACCAACATTCCAAACGCTCAAAATCCCGAACGCCTAACCATCCCGCATGCCCAAAATTTCAACTTCCCAACATCCCGGACATTCCTAAATCCTGAAAAATAAATAGAATTAAGTGTAAAAGTATGTATATATGAAAGGGTAAATATATGAGACTAGTAAAATTTCACCCTTTACAATCTTTATGATAGTGGTAATCATTATTTATTACAACTGTCTATATACATTCCGCATCAATATTTTATTGCAAAGTGTGTTATTGGGATTTTAGTATGTAGGGATTTTGGAAATGTCAGGATGTTGAAAGTCGAAATTTTAGGCATTCGGGATGTTGATATTTGCGATTTTGGGCGTTCGGACATTCAGGATTTTGGGTTTCGGTATTTTGGAGGTAAATCAGCATTTAATATATAAATGTAGCCATATTGATGGATCTAAACCCGCACTTCCCACAATCGTTCTGTTCCAGTTCTCTTCACGGAGCTACTAAAATAAATGTCATCAATTGGATCTAACTGTAGAAATATCAACTGTGCAATTTTGTCACATGGTTGTATGGTGTAGGAACGTCTGGAGTTGTTGTATAGGATCACTCCAATGTTGCTCGTATAGCTAGTGTCAATAGTCTCTCCCTTGACTTCAATTCTGATTCTAACAAGGGAAGATCTGGATATCAACTGATAGATAACGCCTGGAAGAATCTTGAAAACGACGTAGAGATCTACTACTATGATCTCCTGGCATTCTACTATTAGATTTCACTTCCCTGGATAATGTAAATCAAATCCTGAGGAGTTCTCCTGGATTCTTCTACATCATCAAAATCTTTGCATACTTTTAAAAGATAATTTATTCCTTTGATTTTCTCAGGTTGATTGCTGCCATTTATAGTATTTCGGGCCAGATTATAAGTCTCTTTACTAGAAATGGTAAATTCTATATTTTAGATTCTTGTTCGATTTCACGAAGACAAATATACAGATCTGCAAAATAATGAAGAGATCAGTAACTTTAAATCTGATGCATTACAGTAGTTGTCTCGAAGGATTCAGCCGCGACTTGCTCATGATTGTCCACTTGTAATGTCTGATTTGAAAATTCCCTAACAGAAGCAATAGTCTCTTCAGAAATATATGTATCATTCATTTGTTTTTTTCCTTTAATACTTGGTGATCTTTCTGTGTCTAATTATGATTCTTTTTTTGATTACACACAGTCATTATAGGTATCTTGGCTGCAGGATATCAGACACTCTAGACTAAGGATGCTTGCCAAAATTATTTTGAAAAATGCTAAAATGCTGAAATTCAGGAATTATATCAGATTATGCACTAATAGTTAATTAGTATTTTGATATTTGATGGATCTGCTATATTATCAAAATTCAAAAGATAAAGATATATGGGATGGATGGTAAAGTTTGATATATGCATTGTTCTTAGAAAAACTTTTTTAAAAAATTAGACAAAATAAAATTAAAAATACAGGCTTATTGCCTACCTTCAGAATTTAGTCTAATGTAATTTTTTGTCAGTTTATTATATATCAAGTTCTTTATCAAAATTTTGTAATTCATCATTATCTGAGTTACTTTTAACAAGTGCTATATTATTATTCACACTTTGATACTCTTTTACTACATTAAATAAGCATTTTCATAATTCAAGAATGATCTTGAAGAATACTTTTTCTTGAAAGGAATATAACAATTTGTTTCTTATATATGAAGCAGTTCTTGTAATACATCTTTAATAACAGTTCATACTACTTCAATCAGCTAGAATTCACAATGATAAGGAAAAGTTTATAAGAGATTATATCCATATCTTTTTGTTATTTTCATGTATATGAAAGAAATATTGCTTTATTCTGCTTGACCAGCTCATAAAGTTCTGTCTTGTTAATTTACTTAGAAAAAGAAATATTTTTTTTTCATATAATTCATTCAGCAAGCACTAACTTTCTTGCTCTTGATATTAGTATTTGTTTTGTATACTATTTATAATAGCAAGTATCATTTATATAAATATTAACTATATTATACAGTTTTAGAAGATTAGTATATAGTCTTTCAAAAAAAATTCTCAAAAATATTTATTATGAAGTTTCTGTAATAATTATTATTATTCATGATAATATTAGTATATTAAATTAATTTTAAAAGATTATCATCAGAAAATTTTCAAGAGCACAGTTTTGCACAGATCTTCAGATCCAAAATCTGTGCAAAATTTTGAACCTGGTAATAATTGGTAAAGAAAAAAAAATTAAAAAATCTGCACAGATCTGTAATAAAATATAGGTCTGCACAAATTTTTTAATTTTTTTTTAAAATTCTGCACAAAACTTTGCAATATCAGTTTCAAGTAGCAGTAGCAATTTCAAGCAATTGCAGCAGTAGCAATTTCAAGTAACTGTAAAATTCATAGGTTAAACAATAGTAAAGATATTTATTTTATTGTAAACTATATAT